CCCCCCCCCCCTTGCACACGTGTGGTCCTGAGTCGGGGGCTTATGGTACGAAATTGGTAAATCAGAATGGGCTCAAAATCAATCCGAAGCTTTGTCTCGACATGCCAAAACTTTTGGCTTTTACAGATCTCAATTATCTTGTCAATTTTTTGAGATAATCGGCGAACAAAAAGCTCGGACGCGGACGCGAACGCGAACGACGCCATACGCACATCGCTATTTTGCACATATTTCATAGTAAACAACATGTTTTTGGGGGTAGATAGGTCTTGATCGATAGGATTTGATCCCATCTACATTGCCTACTGTACAGATATGTGCTTTTTCAAGTTTGGCGTGACGTTATAGTGGTCCGAAAGAGGAGATGTCATGAAATTTTGGCTAGTAAAACCAATACTTTTCCATACAAACAAAGTTTGAGGAAAAGTAATAAAACGACCAGATTTTATATTTGATACAATTTTGTATTTGTTTTTATTCAATGCAAATTGATGGCTGAGCCAAAGTTTTGTCTTTTGATGTGATCAATTTCAAGTTTAATTCCTTGGCAGCAGACAGCTACTTGTGAATTTCCTTTTGCGAGAAACACTTCGATGCACTTGATCTAGGTTCCAGGGAACTTGGAACCTTTTCTAATCATACGTTACCGTTTAATACGATACTTGAGTGACTCAAGTTGAGTCATCATGAAATTGTCCACAATCAATGATTCAAGCAATGCGCAAGAGTTCCATTTCGTACTGTGAGAATGATTTTTCTGTATTCTGTTCCAGTTAGAATACGATTGCTAAAATTCTGGACAAGTTACATCGTATAACTTTCCCCTCCCACGGTCAACAGCTAAGAACAAATCAATTAGATCAGATTCATTGTGAACCAGTTTATTATTTATTTGAATTCATTTCAATTGAAATAAAAAGAACCGATTTTATATTTCATACAATTAAGTATTTGTTTTCAATACAAATTAGTATGCTACTTATAAAATTGTGTTTGAAGTTGTCTTTCGATGTGATCGGTTGTCAGTGCTATTTAGTGACAGCAGACAGTTACTTGTGCATTTTCTTATGTTGATTGAGATTTGCCTTTTGCGAGAAGCCCTTCGAGCATACTTCACATTGGAATGGCTTTTCGCCAGTGTGGACTCGCATATGTTTCATCATATTTGGCTTATGATCAGTTGTGTAGCTCTTGCACACATCGCATCGGTATCCGAGTCGCTTGCAGTTGGCTTCATGATTTTCCATTTCCTTCTGTTGTGTGAAGATTTTGAAGCAAGATGAACACTTTATTTTCAATGGACGAAGGCTGGTGTGAGTTTTGTGGTGACATATTAAATTACTTCTTTGATTGAATGTCTTTGAGCATTGGTCGCATTGGAATGGTCTCTCGCCGGTATGCACACGCAGATGAACCTTCAAATTCGTCTTATGCAAACAAGAGAATTCCTTGCACAGATGACACTCGTATCGACGTACCCTGCAACCGGTTTCATGTTCCACTTTTTCGTCGCTGCGATGAAATACTTGCGAACAATTCGAGCAACTGAACAGAAATTCATCGACGTGTGTTTTCATGTGCGATCGGAGATGTTGTTTTGCTGTGAATCGCTTCTGGCACACGTTGCATGGAAATGGTCGTTCGCCGGTGTGCTTGAACATGTGTTTCTTCAAGGCGGTTGTGAAGTCGGTGGCATAATCGCACAATGAACACTTGTGCCGCTTTTCATTCCCATTGCCTTCAGTTAGCTCATCCTTGTCATCAAAACTGTTGGCTTTGCTATTTTTCCCGTTTATAGCTGCACCGCCATTCAACCCACTTGACTTCTTATTCTTGTCCTTGGAAAGATGCTTCTTTGGAATGCTTTGTGGTGATTGGTCTTTGCCAGAGCTTCTTCCTGGAACTTGTTTCTTCCAAACCTCGACATTTTCAATCTTTACTTCCGATTTTACCTCATCCAAGTCGTAGAAATCAAAGTGAACGCCGGTGTCAGTCATTTCTGTAACACCAATCGAATTATCAAGCGATCTAATGGCTGTGTGTGCTGACCGCGACACCATCAATATTTCCTCGGAGACTTCATTCTCTTGTTTAATGGTTGGCTCCTGTTTGATTTCGATTCCACACGAAATTGATTGATTTCGTAATGTAATGTCATTGAATTGCTGCCTATCGGGCGGCTTTGTACCGTGCCTATTCATCGCTATGCAATTTTGGTGCTGTCAAACAGAGATCAGAATGACCTTTTGTTAGAACCACACATGAAAACTTAAAAGAATACACATTTTTGTTAAAACTCACCTTACTGTACAGCTGCTTTTTATTGTAAGAAATTATTCAGAACTCAAACGTTTTATTTCGTTATTGCAAAAATAAATCGGTCGAAAATCTAAACACAGCGAATAAGGTATAGCTCGAAAAAAAAATGCGTGTTGAAATGACTCTGTTGAGCAGAGCAAAAATGGCGTCGCGAATAAAAGAAAATATTTAGTTTGACGTGTAGTCGATGCTCGGATATGTGAGCTATGTGCTGAAGCGATGATGAAATAGCAATAGTCGAATAGCGCACACAGTCACACACCGCAATGACAAGTGTCAAAAGACGAATTTCGAAACATAGTGTAGTGTTGCCAGTGACTTTTGAACTTTTCGATGGATTCGGCTTGCACATTTCAAAAATGTACGGATTATAATTTGTAAGCAGCGGATATTTTATTTCCGCAAACTAATTTTCTTCTCCGCACTTCGATAGATGTCCTCTCTATCAATTCGCTTAGAAATCAAGGTTTCAAGAAATAGAAATTGCAATTGGAATTTACGAATGGATATTCGATGTCAATGCTTTTTGTTTCTTCAAACATTTCTTCGAAACCGATCCTAAAACTTGACACCGAATAAGCGTTGAATCTTGGCCAATTTTAGGAAAAGTAATAAATCTTAACCCTTTGACGACCTTTGGGACACATATGTCCCATTTTATTTTTCGTCAATAATTTCCACATTTTTAGACCGATTCCGATAAAATTGGTTTCTTTTGAAAGAGAATGAATGTAGCTATCAGAAAGTACCATAATATTGGATATTTTACATCACTGTGCTCAAATAGAACACTTCAAAGTCGAAAAATCTTAACTTTTTTTTTCAAATTCCGCCAAACCCTATATAATTTGAAGGGTACAACTTTTAAAGCTGAAAATTGGAAATGTTGTACGGAGTGTCTGTTACTTTCTAGGGATAATCGCCTTTTCTACAAAAAATTTTGTTTCAAATTTTTATTGCTTTTGGCGTGATGGGACATACATATGTGTCCCATTGGTCGGTAAAGGTAAATAATTACCACTGATTTCCCTGTATTTCAACCACTTTTCGCGAATTTTGAAACACACAAATTTACAAAAAGATCGTTAAATTCATGATTAAATGGGCACAACAAAGCATGATTCAAACCATTTTTGGTTTAAAACGATTCTATAAATTTTAAAAATGGAAAAGATATTACACGTAGTTCTTATGGGAGACATGTTTTTTTCATAGAAAAATAAAGGTAAATAGTTACCTTTACCGACCAATGGGACACATATGTCCCATCATTTTTTTCATATTTGCAATTAAAAAAATTAATTTTTGATAACACTTTTGTTAATATTTTTGGGGTCGCTGAGCACGAATCTGCAATCAGAATTGCAAAATTCCCAGCCGTTCAGTTTTGGTCGTCAAAGGGTTAAAGCGCTCAATGATCTCTGGGTTTAAAAGAACCCAAAAACTTGTTTTTATCAAACGATACCAGTCAAATCGGTATTCTAATTTTGTTCACAGCGGTTTGACATTGGACATGCTCTTGATTACAATCAATGATTCAAGCAATGTACAAGAGTTCCATTTCGTACTGTGAGAATGATTTTTCTGTATTCTGTTCCAGTTAGAATACGATTGCTTGAACTCTGGACAAGTTACATCGTATAACTTTCCCCTCCCACGGTCAACAGCTAAGAACAAATCAATTAGATCAGATTCATTGTGAACCAGTTTATTATTTATTTGAATTCATTTCAATTGAAATAAAAAGAACAGATTTTATATTTTATACAATTAAGTATTTGTTTTCATTCAATACAAATTAGTATGCTACTTATAAAATTGTGTTTGAAGTTATCTTTCGATGTGATCGGTCGTCAGTGCCATTTATTGGCAGCAGACAGCTACTTGTGCATTTTCTGGTGTCGGTTGAGACTAGCCTTTTGCGATATAGAAGTAAAGTAATAAGTAATATATTACTATTTCCTATTACTATTACAGGCTATTACAAAAATAGGCTATTACATTTACCT